CTGCCTCTGGTGTCAGAGTTCAAGGGAAGCTGCCTTAAGAAAAACGTTCAAGATTGTGTTACCATGTGAAATAGGGCTTACAGGAGAGAGGAGTGTCAAAACAGCTGATCGTTGGAGTCTGCAACAAGGCAAGACACTATTTATTGATTAGCTTGCCTCTATACAAAGCAACAACTCCTACAGTTCTCAGCAATGGTAACATACCAAATACAGCCTGAAGTAACTCAGCAGGAGCTGAAAACAGCTGCCTTGTTTAGAGAAAAGATACTGCCCTGATTAAAAAAAAAATGTATGGGTGGGAGAAAAAGACAGCAATGTTTCAGCTATCTGGCTGCAAGAGTCATAGTCCTGAAGAAACAAAGTACTATTACTGGAAAAATGAAAGCTGTGAAGTAGATTAATATGCAAAGAGCTCTACAGAATTTCAAAGCAAACAAAAATCCTCTTTTATAGAATGGGAACAGTAATTCAGTGTTTTGGAATTATTGCTTTAGACACTTCATTACTATCATGTTTCCTCTATTCAGTCCTTAAGTAGATAGGAACCTCCTTCTTGGTTCCCACCAATACTGTTTTCTTTTACTTCAGTGTCCCTGATAAACTCTCCCAGACTTGTAAACTGCGTTCTACATCTTATCACTTACGGGAAAGTTACTACTGCATTATTTTTTTGCACACAATTTGTTAAAAAGTAATGCAAACACATTATCCACCAAGTCTTCCTTAAAGTAACTCCTTGAATTGAGCTACTTGTGTATCAGGGAGAAAAACAACACACCTTATTTCGGACTTCATAGCACACTGAAGAGCTATGGCTAGACAATGTAAGGCAGACTAATTGTAAACTTAATTATTTCCTCATCTGACTGTAAAGAAACAGCCACCTACTCCATATATGCAAAATAAACAAGAAAATTATAATGCAGTATTTAAAAATACCTGAAAATATTTCAGAAACCACTCTTGTTAAAAGCTGAGCAGATGCAAGCCCTAAAGGCCTCCATTTTAAATAGTAATGCCAGTAAGTTCACCCTTCCAAATATCAAAAAGCATCATAGTTAAGAAAGCACAAGGCTGAAGCCAGAAATACAAGAAAGAGAAGAAAACTCTGCTTGTCCATGTCTCTTTTTTTCAGCAAAATGTCTGATTTCTGCTCAGTCCTTTTCCTTTGCTTAGTTTATTTTACTAAGTCTTTTTTTCATACCTTCTTTGCGCCTTACCACAAATACCTGTAGAAACACTTTACTGAAAAAGTCTATCTTCACAAAGCAAACAATACAACAGCTTCTTTACTATGGTAATTTTTATGTACTGAGTAGAGAACTTACAAATTTTGAGAAAATTTAGTTATGTTTTGGATCAAGTAAATCACTAGAATCTTTCTCTCCATCTGTCTAAATTCCAAAGAGTATTTTCCCTTTCAAAACTTGAAACAAAAATTACTCCAAAATCCCATGAAAACCTAATTAAGTGGTGGGGAAAGGAACTGTCATTCTTTTAACTTCCATACTGTACAAGCTCCAGAAATAAACACATGAATTCTTAAGAGTCATCTTGACAAAAGCTCTGACTGTGCTTTTCACCTGGATCATCAGTTTTTCCTTTGGACTTTTTAAAATTGGAAAGTGACTCTGAGAAAAACCCATGTCTCTCACTTGCTGAGATAAACCAGATTAGCAAACCAGTGAGATTAAATGAGTCACCTAGACCATCTGTAAAGGCTAGAGGACACCTACTGCCATAAACTTAACCGTATATTCCAGCTTTTATTAGTTAGAAATCAACATGATGCACAAGATTTCAAACACCTCACATATGCAGATGTATGTATGTGCACTCATTAACATGACAGAGAGGCAAAACCAAGACTTTGAAAGAAAGTCAAAGAACCCACCAATGTCTAGACACAAATGTACCTAACAAGTGGGTCAGATGTCTCACTAAATAAACTGCCAGGCCTTCAAAACGAGTAACTCAAACGAAAGTCTAAAGCAGAGAAAAACGGTAAGCAGAGTATTTTGTGCAACAGGCACAGATACTGAGATTTCTAGAGTATTTTCTTTTATAACCTTCAGCAAACATGGGCCAAGAAGAAAACCAAACTGAATTAACGTACATACTTAGGAAATACACTCGCAGAAGCTTCATTAATGAAATCACAAGCTCAGTGAAGCCAAATGGACATCTCAACTGGTAAACAGAGTAATAAGAAACACTGTCATACCCAGTTAAAACAGATTTGCAAACAATAGGCAGCCTAACTAATGAGAAACATGAATGTAACTTACAAATTAAAGAGACCCTCAAGGTAAGAACAGCACCAAAACACTCTCCACGAATTAAAAGACCTACACTACCAAGAAAAAGTTTGTTACAAGTCAAAAACTAATCTGTAGATAAGCATAAGGAAAAGAATATGTACTTTCCCAGCTAAGGAAACATGTCAAGGCTGCAGACCACATCATAAACCCATGTCTTGCCAGAGGGACTTCCAAGAAGACAGAAATCCCCAACCAAGCAAACAACAACAAAAAAAACCAAAGCAAATTTGGTCGCAAGTAGAGGAAACAGCATACAGCTTGTTTTTATTTAAACTATTTTTCTGTATGCCCTGGGCACATACTTGCATCTGTATTGCCAACAATGTTCAGAACATTTAAATAGAAACTTTACTTTTAAAATGCAGGAACATCACATTAGAAAGAAGCCCAAAATTTTATCAAAAACAAAGGACACAGAGCTGTAAATGCAAAACCATACATTAACTGCTACACCTTTCATTCAAAACTTTTCAGAATATCTCACACAAAGAAAATTTCTTCACTTAAGCTAAATCTTCCACTATCACATCCAATAACCAGCACCTTACACTTTTTTGTGCCTTCTTTGCCTTAGTAAGAAGTTAAAAAGCAGTGAAAATTTATTACCAAGTACTATAGCACAGACACGAGAAAGCACAGGATTATGTGGGGTCTCAATCATTTATAAATAAAGTCTTTGAGTAGTCCCCACATTGCTGCCCCATGGTCAGAAACAGAGGACTACAGAAGTTTTTGCTCCTTATTTCTAAAAAAAAAAAAAAAAAAAAAAAAGCAAAAGCTGCCCTGGCATAATCATGGAATGAAGATGTCCTGTTTTGTCTAGTGACTTTTCTAGAATCAGAACACCATAGTGGTGCTCTCACTCTGCTCTCCCTGGTGTTATCACACGAAGGATAAAAAAGAATAACCAAACCAATGTAATTTTTTGCTGGTTACTGCAAAGACAGTTTCTCAGTGGTTTCAGCAATGACTAAATAGAAAATACACAGAATGGCACTCAATTCAAATTCCTCTCAACTCTCTGTATTTGCACTGAAACATCTGCAACAGGGGGATCTAAAAATTATTTTCACAATTTGAAATTATTAGTAGAGAAACTACAGAGCAGGACCTGAAAAGACAGGGCTGAAATGGAAACCACCACAGCAGAGATGTTCGATTTTTCAAGAATTCGTATTTAAGTATTTACATTTAAAACTTCCACACAAAACTTAAAATGTACTAACCACATGAAGGTGAGGCACCATCCCCCTGCAGCACAGGGGAGGAGCAAGCTACTTTACCAAAAGAAATGGAACTAAAACAATGGAAACAGGATGCCGTTCAACAGTGCAAAGCATAAGCTTGAACGCTGCAGCACAGTTTTCTGTTAGAAACCAAAATATTATCACTAAAATTATTACAAATGGGAATGAACCAATCACCCAGTGACTACGAGCCACTATCATCAACCAAAAAGGAGATAAAAACTTTTCAATAGGGAGATTAAAACAAACAAACAAACAAAACAAAACAAAAAAACAACCCAAAACCCCCCACAAAAACCACAACAAACCAGTTTTGGATGCTCTTTCAATTATTTTCATAATTTTTTATACATGCACACACAAATGCTTTAGTATCTTCAAGCTCACTTAGAACTTAATACTGCCAGGTTCATTTGTTCTGAACAGTCCTTTATTTTGAAAGCAGACACACAGAAATCAATTAAATTATTCAAAGCAAAGCATGTATTCAATGTGAGTCTATGTGGAAGTACAAGGTGCAAGGAAAACTGTATTATATGGCTTGTATTGAAAGAGTGATTTAAAGCAGCTTTTTAGTTCACACAATGGAGAGCATATACTGGTATCTTCTGCAAATTTTTAAATTTTAATATGGTGCTTAAAAAAACGTCAAGAATCAAGTAAAAATAAGCCTAAGCAAGAACATGGGAAAAACAACAAAAAATTACACAGATTTGCTGATAGTGCAGCTGACTAATGCAGAAAAAGAATAAAATAATTAAAATAATCTACCAGACTATTAAATATGACCAAAAATAACTACACATGGCAAAAGAAATGTGAAATCAGTCTTGTCATCATTTCATAATGCTATCAGAATATGACACCAGAAGGTGTCTGCCCTTTTCAAAGGCACCCATTCTTCCAAATACATTACCATTCAAAATTAACAGACTAAGTACTTACACATTCATTTCTATCAATATTCAAAGTAACAACATAGACTATGTAGTAAACAGAAGTCTTCCTATACCAACCTACTTTTTGAAACTGGTATGAAACTAATTGAGAATTGTTTTGCTATATTTGAGTCATATAATTTTAGAATATAAACTGGCAAAATAAGTATTTCCTCTACCTAGTGGGACCTTTGCTAATTTGAACTAAACTTTTAATTTGTCTGTATTTTGTTTTAATCAGCCAGGTGCTTTTTACATTCTAGTTATCTCAGAACTAACTAATGGTATCTTCCATGCAACTCTTAAGTTTTTTCAGTAAAATGCAGGAGTAGATTTTATCATGAAGGCCTATTCAAAGAAAACTTAGTATAAATGTGAGCTCAGAGATCTATATGTGAATATTTTCGGTCACACCTTGCGTGAGTCTACTGTCTTTTTAATCAACCCAACCCCTGTTTTCACACTGGACTGAGCATTCAAGTCTTTTTACTCACTTCTGTGCTCCCTGAGACAACAGCTTTGTCCACGTTCACTGATAGCTGCTCTTCAGTCTGGCAGACTCCCAATGACCACTCCGCACAGCGGTGATGAGCCCAGCAATGACCTGACACAGTATGAAAGAAAAAGAGATTTGGTTGTACAACTCTGCCAAGCACTTCCCATTATGTACAGAACTTGGTTCTAGTAGCAAATATTTGCCAACCAAAATGAACAGTCTCTCTTCCTCCTGTTTTTCTTCTTGCAGCATTTAATGCCCTTATTATCATATACTAAATATATTGCAGTTACTATCAGATGCTGCAATTTTTTTTGTATTTTACACATCTTCCATTTAATTTCAGCACATTCTGTACATCTGCTTCTAATTTTCAGAAGCCTGATCACATAAGCATAACAGCAGGGAGTAGATGCAATGTTTGTGTGCAAGACAGACGTGCAGAATTACATCTGATCTTGCACTTCACTGTAAGTATCATTTGTCTGTACATGTACTCTTATACTTCCCACTGACCAGGCACAGATCTGTGTGTTCATGCAGAACATGCTCACATGATGCTTCAGAATCCTACACAAAACTTTTAAAAGCTCAATATACAGCATGAACAGAAACATAATATACACTACAGAAAACTGTGTCAATGCAAAATGCACACAATGGAGACACAATTAGAAATGCTGAGCTACATAACAAAACAATTCAGAATTTGCAGAATTCAACAGGTGTCTCTTAAAAAATATTTCTAATTCAATTCTGGGAAAACAATGTGAATGCTGCAGACTTCCAAAGGGATTCTCTGACAGCTTTCTACTAGATTCAAAATGATGCTTTACACTAGCTGTTGAAATTAGGTACTCGGTAATCTTAATCATTCAGCAGCAAGAAAACTCCCCCCAAAATCTCTCTAAGGGCCTGAGAAGAGTTGTCTACAAATAATAACAACTTAAAAAATACTTTAATTAAAAACCCCACATCCCTCCACACACACTATGGTATAACTATTTAAAACGAACCATTAAATTTTATTTTTCACTTTTAATTAGAGCTTGAAATGAGTTTCCACACTCGCAAAAGAATGACATTTATATTATTGCACAAATTTCCATTTTTGAAGCAAAATACTTGGGTACTGGCATCAATGCATTTGGATGTAATTCATAAATGAGTAAAGAGGAAAGTTCCATTAAAATAAAGGAGCAGATGACAAACCAGACAGTTTTTCAACAGAAAATCTGCAGATACTTGAAACATGCAAGTGTATTGTGCCTCTGCTGCTCTATCAATAGTGCTCTTTTAAATCTTCCAGTATTTCCAATAACCTCACATTAGAAGCAGGAGATTATCTAAGGCCTAAGGATTAGGACGTGGAGAATTATATTAAGATGAGTGCAATTTCTTTTTCCTTTTCTCCTCAAAACAGAATTATGATACTGAAGATATTACTATCCAAACAACACTTCAGCAGTAGATTAAAAACACTTCCCCATACAAAGCTGACAATGATTCTGTCCAGTACTTGAAGAGAACACCACACAAAAACACCACATAACACTGGCAAAAGCTATGAAAGCATAATCAAACACCAGATCACTGAAAACCAACAGCTGAAAAACTCCCCTCACTGTCATTTTAGCTAATGTACTACTAGCACTGGACAGGAAAAAAAGGATAGCAACATATCTTACCTGTTGGCTCAAATAAGGCTTGAACATCAATGTCATCTGGTAAGCCAACTAAACTGAGTTCATCCCAGAATTTGACAACCTGATCGTCAGAAGCAGTTTGGGTGCTTACACTTGTACATGATGCTATACTTGATCGAGATCTGTATCAGGGAGCAGAAAAAACAACAACTTAGAAGTGACTCCATTCTTTGTCCAATTAGGTAGGTACTTGTAAATGATCAAAAACTCAGGAAAAGTTACTGTAATTTTTTTCCAAACACGATAAAACATAAATCAACACGAACAATAAAATCTTTCTTCCTCATACTTCAGCCCAGTATTTTTCCCAGTCACAAAATTTTCAGTTCAAGCTGAAGGGGTTAAACCATCATTTTCGGGGCATGGGCCCGATAGCTTTGATTAGCTGACCCTACTAGGAAATAATATAAGGGAAGTATGGAGAGTTTTGATCTCTTTCGTGTAGGTTCGATTCCTACTTTTCTAAGGTCTGGATTACCAGGAAATGAGAGGATTGGGGTACCTCTACGTTCACTTTATCATAGTGACCCTTTAATGTTCAGGCACATTTCCTTAGGTAAGGAGGAAGGCCTGCGTAGCAGATTGGCATGCTGGTGTGTCAAAGGCATAGTGCTAGTGTTAGTGGTAGGAAGTTTTTTCATAATAGGTGTATGAGTTGGTCGTAGCGGAATCGGGGGTATGAGGCACGAATTCATAGGAAGCCTGAGGAAAGTAGGAGAGTTTTTGAGGCGAGGGCGATTGGAAATAGTTCGGTGGGCAGGTTTAGTGAGCTTGGGTTTAGGAATAGGATGGCGGTTAGGGTATTTATTAATATAATGTTTGCGTATTCGGCTAGGAAGAATAGTGCGAATGGGCTTGCTGCGTATTCTACGTTGAATCCGGATACTAGTTCTGATTCTCCTTCAGTAAGGTCGAATGGGGCTCGGTTGGTTTCGGCTAGGGTTGAAATGTATCATATTATTGTTAGGGGTCAGGAGGAGAAGATTAGGTACAGGGGCTCTTGGGTTGTGGCTAGGGTATTTAGGGTGTAGTTTCCGCTTAATATAATTACTGATAGTAGGATGATTGCTAGTGTTACTTCATAGGAGATGGTTTGTGCCACTGCTCGTAGTGCACCGATTAGGGCATATTTTGAGTTTGAAGCCCATCCTGATTGAGTATACGGCCAGGCTTGATATGGCTAGGAGGAATAGGAGGCCAAGATTTAGGTTGGTGAGGGGGAATGGGAGAGGTAAGGGGACTCAAATAGTGATAGCCAGTAGTAGAGCAAGTATTGGGGTTACGATGAATAGAAGTGGGGAGGATGTAGAGGGGCGTACTGGTTCTTTGATGAACAGTTTTACTCCATCTGCTACGGGTTGAAGAAGGCCGAAAGGTCCTACGATGTTTGGGCCTTTGCGGGCTTGTATATAGCTTAAGATTTTTCGTTCTACTAGTGTGAGGAAGGCGACAGCGATTAGGATTGGGATGGCGTAAGAGAGAGATATAGTTAGGTGGGTTAGGGGGAGTAGGTGGTTCATGGGGGAAGTAGCTAGGGAGAGGATTTGAACCTCTTTCACAAAGTTTTCAGTTCAAGCTGCTATTCAATTGACAAAAAAAAAATAAATATGTGCTTGGTAAAACGGCCCTTTCCTCAGCCTGTTCCCTTCCAGTTCTTCAGCACACATGCTTTTTAAAGTCCACTTTTGTTTGATATTAAAACTTGCCCAACCCTAGGCAGAGAGAACTAGGTAACAGCAAGCAGCCTGTGTTACTCTGGGGAAGAAAAGATGAAGAAGGAAGAAAAGAGAGCAGTGTAAGCAGCAAGCTGCACAAAAGCTGCAGCTTTCATACAGCCCTCTCCCTGCAGCTGGCCCAGGGCACAGCACTGACAGCTTCCTCAAAGGAGACAACCATGGCCAGAGATGAGCAGCAGTGGAAGACAGACTGGGAGCAAAAAAGCTGCTTGGAAAGAAGTATCTTTATCCAGTGCCATTAAGATGTTTAAAACAAACAAAAACCAAAACAAACCAAAAAATGCAGAGTGGTGGCACATGCAGGAGGAAAAGCATGTGGGGGAACTGAAAACTGCAGTAATATAAAGACTATTGTACTGTGGTGACATGGCAGGATCTAGTTTGCAACTTCATGAATTTGCTCCCCAAATTCTAATCTCAACAGAAAACAATTAATAAAACACAGAGTACTCCATTAAAAAAAAAAAAAAAAGTCTATGATTCCTCCTTCCTGCAGGCAAAAAACTATCTTGGTCATCTAAGGATGTGTAATGGGCTTACTGACAAAAGGGACCTGATCTCATCTGATGCTTCAGCAGTTAAAAAGAAAGGGGATGTTTGTGTTCTCTATTAAGGTTCTTTGAACTTCATTATTCTCACTCATTAATAACTCAAATGTTTGCATTTGCTGTGAGTTTCTAGAGATGAGACAGCACAAAACCACCTCTCTTTCCTGATTACTCTCCCTCTGCTTATAACCACAAAGAAAAAGACACTGAAAAATGACCTAACACCAACAGGAATTTTAACCTGCTTTGGCTTCCTGAAATCCACGTGTGCTCTACTTCAGCAATTGCATTCAGAAATATATGGGGGAAAAAAACCTTAGCTTGGGAGGCGGGAAGGGGAGAGAAACATCCCCCTTGCACTGCCAAAAAAAGCTTTCAAGTCTTCACTTCTTACATGACGTACTCATGACTCCCAACATGACAGAAGCTGAACATCAACATTGCTCCCAACTTGCTAGCTCTGGCACTGTTGACATTAAGAATCTCCTTAGTAAAGGATTAAATTAACCTTTTCTGTTCAATATAGTTCCTGAACACCACCCCTCGTCCAATGGAGCCACCCCTAACATGAAAACTGCTGCTCAAAACACAGCAGTTCAAAAGAAGATTAAGAAAAAACTAAATCCCAATTGACAAGGCACTTCTATTAATATGAAAGCTTTCTCCTAAGATCAAAACAATCAATTTTAAGAGTATCCCCATTCCCTCTGAGTTTTTAACCTGAACAGAAACATTTTCCACCCCATCACAACCTTTTGGACTTTGCCTTTTGGTAAACGACATTTCATAAGCATATAGAAAAGAGCGACTGTCTGAGAGGGCAGGGTTAGGTTTATTATAGTCAAGAAAAGCCATTTTTCCCCACCAGCATCACACAATGTGTATTTTTACAATAATTATATGAAAGTCCACTGTGCACCTGAGCAACATCAGCAAACACCGAACAGCCTCTGGGACAGTAAGAACAGCCCTAGTGATGAGCGTAAGTGCAACTTTTAAATGTGAGGCTGAACAGCACTAACGGAACATGCATGAATTAAACATATTCAAGTGCATTTCAGTGAGATTTGAGGAACAGCTGCCCGGCCTGAGACACCTCAGCCCCTCGGGTGGGCACAGCCCCTCAGGCAGCTCCACCTCTGTTATTGGCCCTGCGTTACTGGCAGGGACAGCACAAGCCCCCCTGGTGACAGGATCCCTGAATCCAGGGGAAAAAACTCCTGCGCTGATAGATTTGAAAAAGCACTTTGCCAATCTGTCAGGTCTTACGTGCCATCACCAGACACACTGAGCATCGAAGCCACCCTGTTGGGACCTGCCCACAAACCCCACTTGTGAAGGGCAGGAGATGTGCTAGGTGCTTCCTGCAACGCTGCCATCACTGCAGCCAGCTCTGGCAGGCCAGGGGAATCGGCTTCAAAGAGACAGACAGAGACTTCTAGTTACTCCAGTCTACAAAATACACCAAGTGCCACAAGTCCATTATCTTCTCCTCTTGTGCATACTTCTACTTCAGCCTCACAAGTGTATCCGTGCTTTGCAATAACTCTGTTTCCTTTCTATATTCTTCCAGAGTCAAGATTCTCACTGGAGGGAAGAAACCAATCTTTGAAAGAGCCAGCTATTCCTACACCGCTTGCATTTTGTTAGTTCAAAACAAGACTAAAATTAATTGCACGTTCACAAATACAAGCTATTTGCCAGCTGCAGTACAGTACCTGTAAAGAAGCTTCCTGAACTGCATGCAGAACAAAACAAAACAATATTTACTGTAGAAAAGACTTACTTCTTCTGTCCTCTCTGTTTGCGTGGCACTGAGTTCTGCCTTGGAGTTCTCTCACAAGCTCCATCGGTGCTGTCGCTGGCTTCACTCTTATTTAAAGGCTGGTTTTTCCATGGGATAACATACCCAGGAGTTGGACTGAATTGTTTTAAGTCTCCTTGTCCTAATGAGCTCCGTTCTCCACAGTAACAAAAGGCGCAGAGTTGTTCGCTGTGAAAGGGAAAATAATTACTCTTTTTGGGGAGGGAAAACAACAGAGGATATTCCATCAAAGAGCAACTTTCATGCCCATTTAACCCTTTATAATAATAAAATAAAAGCACCTAAGTGCTGTGAAGTATCAGAATTTAGCATTCAGGAAACAATTTTTCCAGCTATTTTAAATTTGAGAGAACTTTTTTATTCACAGAAGTGCTTGATTAACAAACAAACCCACATATAATTCTCAAATTATTGATAATTTTTTTTGTTGTTAAAAAATTCTGTATCTCTAGACACATGCTTGCTATAAGGCATTGGAAAACAGTGG